CTCTTGCACATGACGTATGTGCACTGACTGAATGTGGGGGGGCAGACAACAGGTAGGAGGGTGAGCCCTGCCCCCCCCCCACCTCTATGCAACTGCCAGGTTGTTTGCACGGCGCAAACACGCTGAGGAAGGACCCATGCAGATGTTTCCTCCCGATGACCGGGGACCATTGTTCCCTCTAAGCTGAGTTAGTGTGAGCTGGCTCACAGTTTTTTAGCCTCCAGCTCACACACTTTTGCCTTAGCTCAGGAAGGATGGCTCCAAAGCAAACTAATTTATGCAGCAGCCAAGTTGCCCGCTCACAACTTTAATGCCAGTAGCTCACTAAGTAGGATTTTTGCTCACAAGACTCCACAGCTTAGAGGGAACATTGCCGGGGACGGTGCCTTCCAAATACTGCCAATCATAAGGATGAAGAATTTGCTATATCTGATTGGTTTTTGAAAATTCAGGAATACTGTATAATGGACAGGCTAGCAGATTCTGTCACCAGGAGATTCCGATAGGTATAACGCGAATTTTGTTAAAATCTGGTTTCCGGTTCTTGAATATTTTGCTTCACATAAGGAATTTGAACATATTCTGGAAGCCATCAACATTGTATATTAATACTGGTTCTAAATGCTACATGAGTTACACCCCTTTTTTTCCCTTTCTTCCCCCACTAAAAGTTGTATTACTATATTAATAACTGTTCTATGTTACAAATTCCATAACTGTTTTTTGCCATTTGTTACATCAACTGTTTTATGTTGTAAGACATGTATGTCTGCGATTGTTCTCTATTATAGGCTCCAAAGACGTCTGTACAAGGTGGATGTTAATACTTTTGCACTCTGCTTGTAGTTGACATCGGTCACGAATGTATTTGATTATTAAATACAATAAAGCTTATAAAATGGGGGTGGTGGTGGAAAGGATGAAAAATATGCTGGGACGCTTCGTTTAGGTGTGCAGGTGCCATGCGCAGGAGTCAGGCGGTGGGGCCGGTTCACTTCTGCTCGCTCTGAGGGTGGTGTTGCACCAAGATCACTAGGCACTCATTACAGATGAAATATAAATCCAAAGACACTTGTTCCCTCATTCATCCAGAAGATCTCCTGTTCCCCGATTTGGGCTACCACGGATAACGATAGAGACCTGTCGTATCCTGCTCTGGTGAGATCTTATTACACAGAAAACATACATGCTGAGAAACATAATTTTAAGTGTCAACTGTACCCTTTCCAGTGGCAGGGTTCCTGGTTCAGGTGGAGCCACACTTGGAAGAGATTCTCCTTAAGCACAGCTGCAGAGCAATGGCCCTTGATCTCTCTAAGCCTGGTGACCCACCTTCAGGCTCAAACCATGAGATCCCGCCTTGCATAACATTGTCTCTATTAATTAAAAAACTTACAAGCTACCTGCTCTACTGAACATGGCCCAAGGCTCTGATTCAGAGATGCACAAGTGGAAACGTAAATGGATGCAACACAGTTGTGCCTGTGAGATCTTGTGCCAACACTCAGCACTTTCACCCCAAAATATTACTGTGCTCAGAAATTACTTGCACAAAGTCCTGCACAAGGAGAAACACAAGTGAGGATATAATAACTTTGAATTAGCACAGGTGGCTACTCCATCTTTTCCTTGAGCTTCTGCTCGTGCAAGAGCTTCGGCATAACTGGAAATTTTGCTCTGGATGTACTCTGGATGTACTACATGTACTCTTTTCTCACCTCCCCTCTTTCTCCTCTTAGTCTCCCTCTTCTTAAACTATGGCCGCAAGCTAGAGATGTGAAGGCCCGGAAAAGAACCGGAAGAATTCGAGAAAAAAACCGCTTTTTCCCCGTTTCTCCCCCTGAAGCCTTTTTTGGGTTTTTTCCCCGAAAAGTTGGAAAAATTGAAAAAAAGAAAAGAAATTGATTATGGAACGTTTTATTTTAACATGTTGAATAGAAAATTTTAAGACAAGGTGTTCAAATATTTTCCAAATCATTTCTAAAAAATATGTATGGTATCAGATTGATTTTATTTCTGTGCACTGAGGACAAGCAAGTCCTAGGTTACAAACTGAACTCTCCAATGCAAGAACAAGATGCATTTCTTCCTCTAGGAGGTGCTGTTGTCACAAGAAAAGAAAAAGGTTTCAGTTCTGTTTCTGCACGTGGGTGGGCATTCTGGCACTCAGGCTTCACTAGGCCTCAAAGCGTTGGAAGAAAATACAGAGCAACAAAAAGGACCTGAAAGTATATACTTAATTTTAAAAGGTGAAGTGTTTTCATTTATCTGATTCCAGAAAACTGAATCATTTAGCTATATTAGTTTATCTTTATAACCTTTCTGTAAATAATAATTTAGTTACTACTAATCTGGTTCTTTACTCCCCCACCCACAATAATTATTGTTTGGATACACTATATTTTTAAAATGCTAGTTGTGATAATTTCGTGCCGAGTAAAATTGTCCATAGTCATACTTTATGCCCCTAAAGTAACAGAATGACTTTCAATCTGGAAAAGAAAAAAGAAGTGTTAATGTAGCATTTTTTCCTATTTTTCCGAAAATTTCCGTTTTTTTCCGAGCTTCAGAATTTCCGGAAATTTTACATCTCTACCACAAGCAATGATCCATTAATGGAAGATCTGACAAACGGGTTATTGCTACCTTTCTTCGTTATTTGTACAAATGCAGAGCTAATGAAAGGGAAAGCAATTCCTTCGTCTCGTAGATCACCTGTAGGGTTAAACAGGAAGCAGAACTTTTTATCAGTGTGACACAAGGGTGAGACATTACTTACAATTTGCTTCTCTGTGTATTTGTTAGAACTCAGCAGATTCACAGCTTCCATGTGGCCAAAATCAATATCATGCCCCAGAAGGAAGATGAAAAGCAGCTTGCAGACATATTTTTTCTTACTGTATCCATCTAGAGCTTTATCACCTTGGGAGCAATTAATGTCAAAATTAAAACAAAAAAACCCTCATAAACACGTCAATGTAATGTAAAGACCACAAAATGTTACATGCCTGTCGTATGAATACAAACATACACACACACTGATTCGGCTCAGGACACAATGCTGAGACATTCGGAACTTATTCAAATTCCTCATATTCCCTTTTTGCCTGCCTGATCACAGATTTGCATTTTATTTGCCACAGCCTGTATTCCCTTTTATCAGCCTCACTGAGACTAGCTTTCCACCGATTAAAGGAATCCTTCTTGCCTTTTACAGCTTCCATTACTTTGTTTGTTAATCATGCAGGCTTTTTTCTATACTTATTTGTGCCTTTCCTAACCTGCAGTGTATATTTTTTCTGAGGTTCTAGGATTGTAGTTTTAAATAGTCTCAAAGCTTCCCCAATGGTTTTGACCCTTTCTACTTTTCCTTTCAGTTTCCTCCTCACATGTCCCCTCATATCAGAGAAATTACCCCTTTTAAAGTTAAAAGTGGTTGTGTCAGTCTTTTTGGCCAATTCCCTATTTATACAAATGTTGAACTCAACAACATTATGATCACTGTTCCCAAGCGGTGCAATCGCTTTTACATCTGTGACCAGGTCTTGGGCGTTACTTAGGACCAAATGCAGGATCGCCTCTCCCCTGGTAGGTTCTGTGACCATCTGCTCCATCTTCAGAGTGGGACCGTAGACTGAGTTTCCCAACACAAAGACCAAGGCTCTGGATAAAGGCTTTGAGGTCAATAAAGGCAAAAACCATGACAGAATAAAAATTTGGGCTGCGGTCACACATAACAGAAGCCACACAAGTGAGACGGAAAACAGGCGGAGTTTCCGGGCGCGATCTCACCAGCACATCTGGGAAGCGTAGCACTCCCGTGGCTCAACCGAGGCTTCCAGCCGAAACTGCATGGCAAAAAACTAGTACCTTGGAGGTACTAGTTTCCGGAAACTGCGGGGCAAGGGCGGGCGTCTGATCCAACCCTTCCCCCCATCCTTCTGATATAATGTATAACCAGGAATCCCCACACTATCCTAAGAGCCCAGGAGGGAAAGGACAAGTCTCCTGGCTTCTCAGGGAATTAACAAGGAACGTCAGCTCTTCAGAGTGGGACCGTAGACTGAGTTTCCCAACACAAAGACCAAGGCTCTGGATAAAGGCTTTGAGGTCAATAAAGGCAAAAACCATGACAGAATAAAAATATAGTTATTTATTTAAAGTGCAAAAATACTGAAACAAGGCTAGACAGTGAAGGGGAAAAAACAGGGCTATTTTTGGGCAGGAGCGCACAGGAACGGAGTTCCGGCTGGCTCCCAAGTTGGCCACGCCCAGCGGGAACTCATTAGCATAATAGGCCACACCCAACAGCAGAAACTCACTACGATTGGCTACATTAAGGGTGTGTGGCCTAACATGCAAAGGAGTTCCTGCTACAAAAAAAGCCCTGGGTTATGACACAAACAAGGTAAGAATCAAAAGGTGGGTGTGGCTGGATGACCACACTTCTGGTAATATGGGGGTGTGGCCTAATAAGCTAATGAGCGGTGCTGCCAGGGGTGTGGCCTAATATGCTAATGAGTTTCTGCTGTTGGGTGTGACCTATTATGCTAATGAGTTCCTGCTGGGCTTTTTCTACAAAAAAAAACCCTGGGGGAAAAAACAACTAAACCTAAGCTTTTCCAGCATAGCTAAAACATAGAATCAAGGTTCCAGTTACCATTCTGGTTCATTACAGGCAGTTAGTTCCAGCAAGTCAAGATGGTCAAGGCTTAGCCCTCCAAGCAGCAATCAAGTGGGATGCCAAATCAGGAGCTGTAGGACCACCAACATTCCTGTGCCAAGTGGTCACCCAGCTCTGCACAAAGGTGGCATAGTGCAAAGACTAAGTAGATTTATGGAGAGGGTCTCTGATTGACCTTAGGCCTGGTAGACCAATCAGACACCAGAGAGATGATGTAACACTCTTTTGGTTGCTAGGCATATGACATCCAAGGATGGACTAGAGGGGGAGAGAAACGAAACCGTGCTGCAGGTAGGTCACGCCCATTCCCACACAGGCGCCCATAGCTTCAGTTGTTTGGAATGTGCTAATCGGAAGGACCAGGGGCAGGTGGTACTCCCTAGCACTGCAACTGCAAACAATCTGACTAGCAAAGTCACTGTGTTCTGACTGTCTCTATCTCTGGGATGATCTCTGTAGGCCTCTCTCCAGCCTGAACCAAATATTTTATTTCTCATAGCAAAGCAAGGAACCATTTTCTTTACACCAATACTCTTGAGCGAGAGCACATCCCATACCTAAATTCTAGTTTGCAAATACAACTGAAATTTATCAGAACACTTTTTTGGGGGGAAAGGATCTGAGTCTATTCAAGTCTATCATCCATGCACATTGTTCATTCAAATGCATCATTCCCAGAAAAGCACAGTGGACTAAACCATCCCAGTACAATCTTGCCTCATGGAATGAAAATAGAACATGCTAAGTTAGTACCAATACACAACACTGTGTTAGAGAATAAGCCTGATATTTGCTTTATGGACTGCTTATTGCTACACACAATAGACTGTGCACACACACATAGGCTCAAAAAGCTGTACACTTTAGGTCACCTGTGGTGATGCCACACATATGGTAGAGGGTGCCTGCACATACCTTACATGTAAATAAGGTTTCAGCTACACAGTTGTGAAGAAGCACAAACCTCTATTATTGTGAGCAATGAAACAACAACTCTAGGAAGAGACAGCCCCCAGGACAGAGCTGCTTTAGTCACATACTACCCATCACCTGCTTTGTTCCTGAGCTGGAATTTCCTGCCAGATGGACATTTGGTTATCAATGGAACTGGCCAGCTTCATCAGCACTACAATGGAGCATCCTGAAGCCTGTCCAGATGCCAATACTTCCGAGTAAGGTTTTAGGTTACAATAGTGGCCACCCCTCTTAGGTAACCTCCCCTTCCCACATGCAACCAATAGGATTTTTTTTGGGACGGACTAACAGGTAGGTGGGTCAAGAGGTTGGAACAGTTACCACCCATCTCTTGGACCCCCTATAAAAGGAGAGAACCAGTCACCTGACTCCTCCCTAGTTAGCATTCCCCCCAAGACAACCCCTGTCTGCTTTTACTCCCCTTGAGTCCCCCTTGCTATCCCCAACCCTTGCCTCTACTGCCCACGTGTTCCAGCTGGTTCTGGTAGCGTGGATCCCCTTTGTTTTCCATTTCTTCCCATCCCTTCTTCATTGGAACAACCAAGCTGCAGGACAGATAAGTATCGCCCGTCATCACCCCTACCTGCTAATGCAACTGTGCTTATTTCATACCGTAATTCCTAGGAACTTGATTTAATGTGTGAGTGCATCAGTATTGTTTGTATGAGATATAGTTTTAAGTAAAAGACATCTATTTTAACCACAACAGCCTCGAATCCTTTACTGGTAACCCTTGGTGGGATCAAGACCTTGGTATAAATTGGCAGGAACCCATTTATAACTTGCCAATTGCTGTAAATAAAGCAATTCGGCTAACAACTGGACCAGGCAAAAGTTAGTGTAACATGTCTTCTTGGTGAGGGACTAGTAGGGCTATACTAAGCGAGTATACCTCAATGGAATAAACTTCCACAAAAGCCCTTCGGATTGCACAAAAGCTGCTCACCAGAGCCACATGAGATGCTGCCACAGCACCTGACATTTCGGCAGACGAAAGTAAGTCTGAAACTGCATGTGAGAATCCACCTTAAGCACATGAGTTTGAAAGGACTAAGTACAAAAGCAAATTTGACCCACCATTTTATGTTTTGCCGGCCTAAATCGAGAAGAGTTGGATCCTGAGTAACACAGCTGTAAGTCATGCTAGGGGATAGGGATGCCAGGTCTGGGTTGGAAAATACCTGGAGACTTTGGGGGTGGAGCCGGGAGAGGGCGGGGTTTGGGGAGGGGAGGGGCCTAGGCATGGTACAATGCCATAGAGTCCACCCTCTGAAGCAGCCATATTCTCCAGGGGAGCTGATCTCTGTCAGCTGGAGATCAGATGTCAAAGCGGGAGATCCCCAGACCCCGCCTGGAAGCTGGCAACCCTACTAGAGGAAGGCAACTTTCCTACCTCGCCCCCTCTAGCTGTAAGCTCTCCCCACTTTGGGCGTTTCAAGGAAAGAGAGGGGGGGAGCGAATCCGCCGCCGGCGGCCCCGCCCACAGGAACTCCTTTGCATATTAGGCAACACACCCCTAATGTAGCCAATCCTCCAAGAGCTTGCAGTAGCCCCTGTAAGAAGAACTCTGTAAGCTCTTGGAGGATTGGCTACATTAGGGGTGTGTCGCCTAATATGCAGAGGAGTCCCTGCTACAAAAAGAGCCCTTATATTATAACAATATGCAGAGGAGTCCCTGCTACAAAAAGAGCCCTTATATTATAACAAACA